CACATAACAAAATTCATTGCAGTCAGGGGTGGGAGAATTAGAGGGAACTCTGCTCAGCACCCTTCAGAATTGTTCCTGGAGCCTAACAGCTGACTTAATACAACAAACCCTGAGTCCACTTGACTGCTGAGATGCATTAACAGGTGTGTTGTGAGCACGATATGAGAAGTCGTTCTTCCGCTCTACTCTGCGCTGGTTAGGCCTCAGTTGGAGTATTGTGTCCAGTTTTGGCCACTGCATTTCAGGAAAGATGTGGAGAAATTGGAGAGGGTACAGAGAAGAGCAACAAGAATGATTAAGGGTCAAGAGAACATGACCTGTGAAGGAAGGCTGAAAGAATTGGGTTTGTTTAGTTTAGAAAAGAGAAGATTGAGGGGGGAGATGATAGCAGTTTTCAGGTATCAAAAAGGGTGTCATGAGGAGGAGGAAGAAAATGTGTTCATCTTGGCCTCTGATGATAGAACAAGAAGCAATGGGCTTAAACTGCAGCAAGAGAGGTTTAGGTTGGACATTAGGAAAAAGTTCCTAACTGTCAGGGTGGTCAAGCACTGTAATAAATTGCCCAGGGAGGTTGTGGAATCTGCATCTTTGGAGATATTTAAGAGTAGGTTAGAGAAATGTCTATGAAGGATGATCTAGTCAATACTTGGTCCTGCCATGGGGGCAGGAGACTGGACTCGATGACCTCTCGAGGTCCCTTCCAGTCCTAGTATTCTATGATTCTATGACTTATCATGTATTTCACTATGTGTAAAGATGTATTTGTAGGTGACAGGACATAAATCTGAGTAAGTAAATATCACTACAGGATATTTTCTTTGATTTTTTTTCCTGTGACTTATTGAATTAAATCTGTGAAGTTCTTTCTACCTATACAGCAAACACAGAAGATGTCAAGGAAGCATAGGGATATGTCTAAATAGTTCAGAGTTCCAATCCTAGACTTCTTAGAAATGAGGTTCCTACATAAATGTTTCATAAGCTTCAGGTTTGTGCCATGGGAATAGATTACTTCTTTCTATACTACTGAATCTTTTTTTTCCATAATATAATCAGTTGTCAAAGCAGCATTTATATATGGAGTTTAGAATAGAGTAGGCTATGGGAAATATTCTAAATAATGTAAATGACCTGCACAGCTTTTATAGGTAGTTAAAACATCACTAACCATTCTTCCCTGCTGTACTTGATTTCTAACAAATTATCTTCAAACTTGGCTTTGCAAATGAAATTTCTTGGAGTGAGTGTATATAGAGAGTGAGTGCTTGTTGAGAAAGAAAAAGGTGCTGTTAATTTTTAATGTTGATAGTCAATATAGAATGAGTAGACTCCTTCCCCCACCCACCTCCACTGTTCCCTCTAATCTATTCCATCTATGTGCAGAATAAAACTGTATGTGCATTGAGGCATGGACGCCACGAATAGACAGAATAAAACTGTATGTGCATTGAGGCATGGACGCCACAAATAGACAAAGAAACCTAGCTGTGGGTACTCTGCTAATTAGCTGGGCAGTATTTGAATCTCTCCTGAGCAGTCGCACAAACTCTCAGCTTACAAGGAACACTGGTTCCCACTAGGGATGTAGTGAAATCAACTAATTGACTTGTCGATGGAATTTCCATCAACTAGTCGGTTAGTCAATAAGTGGGGAAAACTGTAGAGCTGCAGTGGGGTTAGCGCCCAAACCCACGAGCTAACCCCTCTGTGGCTTTGCCTTTTAAATATATGAGGAGTCAGCAGGCTCATAATACATTTAAAAAGTAGAGGTGCAGCGACTGGGAATGGGTGCGAGATGGTAATTAATGTATTATTGTTAATACATTATTAATACATTTAAAAGGCTGGTGCGCAATTGGGGAAACCCAGCCTGAGTCGAGAATTGGCCCGGGTCCTCACTGCTGTGCTTCTACTTTTTAAAGAGCCAGTAGGCTCTTTAATAAATCTCCATTAGGGGTCTGGGGAATATAAGCTCTGCAAGTGGGTAGGGAACAATCTGGGGCAGAGTTAAGGAGATGAGAATGATTTTAGCATCTTTTTGCCTAGAAACTTGTAGGATTTCATGGGTAGGTGAATGTTGACCCTTTTGGCATTGTTACCCACGTTTCCCAGCCATGGTTTGGAAATGCCATTAAGGAACTAATGAAGAAACCTCTGCTGTCCCCTGCCAGCGTAACTCATGCAGCATCTATGGTTCTGCAGATCTGTTGTGATCCAGCCAGTTCTATGCAGGGGAGAACCCAGGAAGCTAAGCCTAAGCTCCCAGAATTTCTTTGTCTTTTGACAGGGAGTAGCCCACTCACTCAGGGGCCAAGTTACTGACATCTCTCTGGGTTCGGACAGTTTCTGGACACTCAATCCTTGAGATTGTCAGTTTGGTCATGCTTGAATACTGTGTCAAGGTGTCATTTCACTGGTGTAGCTTGCTCTACTGTTGCCTCTGCTTTAACTCTTCTGTGCTAGGAGACTTCACCCCCGAGGTGGATCAACAAACAAACACTTTTCACAAGTAGCATATACAACATGCAAAAATGGATGGTTGTGTGTAAAGTCCCATTTACCTTGAGTAGTTTGGTTCTTTATTGGAAGGTCTCCATAATGGACTCACATCTCATTAGGCAAAGACTTATGCCCTTACTTGTAAAGGTGTAATAGTATAAATATCTGGTTGTGATAAATAGAAGACTGATAATCAAAATATAAATTTGTACAGTAAAAAAAAAAAAAGCTTCATTATAGTTAACACTGCATTGTCTTCTCTTTAACAGGAGAATAAAAAATGTCCACCAAATTATTTCTGAATTATGGAAGAATGAAAAAAATCTTCCTCTCCTTTCTGCCCAGAATAAAATAAGAATTTAAAATTTCACCTTTCACGAAGAATGTAGAAAAGGCAGAACCAAAAGCTTGGCAAGTTCATAAGGATTTCTTAAGCTAAAGGGAAAAATGAATGAAAAGTTGCACTATTGAAAAAAACTGCAGTGTCTCGCTTGAAAATTAGGAGGAGGGTACCTCCAGAAGCAGAGCAAGGAACAGTTAGTAAGCACCATAAAAAAACTAACAAATTTATTTGGACATAAGCTTTCATGGCTGGAATCCATTTAATCAAATGCAGGAAGTGGAAACTTCAGTTTGGCAGGTATATATACTCCTGTCAAAGATGGGTGTGTTATATTACTAGATAGAGGACCAGTGCTAATAAGGTCAATTCAATCAGGGTGTGTGGGTGTGGCCTATTCCCAACAGTTGATGAGAAGGTATGAATACTAAAGGAGGAAAAATTATACTGAGTTAGCTACTCCTAGGATGAAGTATGGCAATTTGAAGTAAAGAACTTCAAAAACAAACTTCAGCGTAAAACTGTAAAGCTGGAATTCATTTGCAAACTTGACATTATCCAGACACTATCAGACTGAGGCCTTGTGCACACTAGATAGTGGATCGATGTTACAATCATCAATCCACTGGCAGTCGATTTATCATGTCTGCTTAGACACAATAAATCAACCTCCAAGTGCTCTCCCATCAACTTCAGTACTTTACCAGGGCAAGAAGAGTACCTGGAGTTGACGGGAGAGCAGCCCCTGCTGAGTTTTACCGCATGTAGGACATCGCGGTGAGTCTGTCGACTTCAGCGACTCGATTCATGTTGCTGACATTGTGTATGTTAGATTGATGCGGGTAGGGGTGTAGTGTGGAGTAGGTTTGGATCTGAATAGAGATTGGGAGTGGCTGGCTCACTAAAAAAGTAATTTCCCCTCTTTTGGTATTCACACCTTCTCATCAACTGTTGGGAGCAGGCTACACCCACCCTGACTGGATTGACATCATGAAGATTGGTCCTCTACATAGTAGTGTAACTCACCCATCTTTGCATGTACACATACACCTGCCAAATAGAAGTTTCCACTTCGTGCATCTGACAAAGTGGCTTCCAGCCCACAAAAGCTTTTTCCCAAATGTGCTAATCTTTAAGGTGTCACAGGACTCCTCATTGTTTTTGCTGAAACAGACTACCATGACTACCCCTGTGAAATAAGAGCAATGAGTTTAACTTAAGAAGTCAAGAGGTGAGACTAGTTCTTGAATATGGTAGCGGAAAGAGCATTAATATGTTCCATGAATTGTAGCAGTTACATTGTGAGTTATTTCATGAGGGACTCTGTTGCACAGAACATGTTTTGTATTCTAAAAAACTGTTATTAAAGTATAGAATGAGTTTATAGCAAGAAAGATAAAATGGTTTGAATCTATGAATTCAAGCACTAAAGATAATGCAGAAGCAGGAATATTCATTCTGATAGATGGTGTTTAATGTAGCCTTTTTTCTAAGAAATATCGGCTTCTGCTGGGTGATAATCTCTTGGTAGAAATTTATGGAAAAATTAGATGTTTCTCAGTAAAAATTCATAAGGGGAGGAAGCAATAGATGCTTTTAATTAGCTAACAAAAAAGGAATTATGACAACCTTTAGAGATGGCAAAGTCTCATTTCTGGTAGAATTGGAAGAACATGACAGCTTTCTTTAAGAAACAGATTTTCTATGGCATTAACAATAGACTTAAACTAACCCAAATGTAAGTTATAAATTATTCCCAGTGTCCTGTTCTTAAGAAAATTTCTAGGTGTATTTTTTTCCTGTTTGGCTGATGTTCCTTCTCTGAAGTTCTAAAAAGTGACAACCCTTACCTTAAATCTTCATGTATTTCTAAGCAAAAAGCTGAAGAGAGATGGGCATGTGAGCTGGATTTTAAACCACAAATTGCATCCACCTCTAAGGAGATACTTGAATATAGTAATAATACCAAAATATTTTCACTGTGATTTTTATTTCATTATATGTTGTTTTCATTTCCCTTTGTCTGTCTTTTACTTCTAGGATGGTAGGCCTAGACTATGGTATGGGTAACAAAAAAAAATTAAGCTCTAGTCTAACATCCAGAAAAAAGTTAACTTGCATGATCTTTGTGATTTAAGTTGTTCCTTTGTTGTTTTGGCAGCTTGCACAGACAAGGAGCTGAGAAGTCTTGCTTCCCGATTAAAAGATTGGTTCGGTGCTCTTCATGAGGATGCAAATCGTGTCATTAAACCAACAAGTTCGGACACAGCACAAGGCAGTAAGAAAACTCTTTATAAAAATAAAGTTCTAGACAAGTTCACATGCATTTAAGGGCAGAATTGTCAATGCAGTTCTTAGTATGTCACTATCTTGTCACTGTGCAAGTATACTACTATCTGAACCATATAACAGACCTGATCCTATGAAATGCTGAAAATACACAGCTCTCATTGATTTCTAAGAAGGTTACAAGTGCACTGACAAGTGCAAACTGTCTAAAAGAAGACAATAAGACACATACCACACAAACACACATACTTCTGACTATCTGCTGTTATTGTCATAAGAGGCTCAGATATTAATAGCTAGAACCACTAATAGATTGAACCTGCCAGTACATTATATGACTATGAGCAATATGGCAAACAGAGTATGTGACATTCACCTATTAAACATACAACACAGAGAAGATTACACTGGGGTTTCATTTTGTTATTACCAATTACCTTATACAACAGGAATTCAATAGGGAAGAAAATATCTAGATAGCCACAGGCCTAGAAAGATTAGTTGATGCACAAAGGTTAGAAAATTGTACGTGCTAAAAAAGTTACATTCATGCAATGCATCTAAAAATATTTCTCAGCACTTACTGTTTTTGATACCCCTAATTTTTTAAAAAAAGAACAGCAGCACCCTATAGATACAACTCAAGCAATTAATTTTGATGGCATTTACCCAACAGGGAGAAAGACTCACACTGAGGTTACAAAAGGAGATAAAGGTGAACTGAGTTGATGTCCTATTTATGGGTAAACCTAAAAAATTGATGCAAGAAAGATACATAGTTTTAACTCTCCAAGGATTTGTCTATATAGAAAGTAGTTGCAATGCAAATCATGGTGTGTACGTGCAGCGCTCCAGCTTGAAGCATAATTACATCCCAGACACTGGTCCAACACATTGAAAGCTCATATCAGAGGAAGGGCTGGAAACTGAGCAAAGCTGAATCAGTGCACCAGGGTTGATGATTTGCTACTGGCTTATAGCACTGATTCCCTTATGCTGCTCCAGAAGTACACAGCTTTGTGCTGCCTCTTATTATGGAGACACAGGGTAGCCCACAACATACTGCTCAAAATTGGAATTGAAGTTTATTTAGTATGAAATATTGATACAAAAATCATGCCGAAGAGGCCAAACACAAAAGACAAGCTCTCATGACAACTATCTTTTCCAAAGTTCCGACTTCTTTGCAGTTGCATGTAAGAAGTCATTCATTAAACGGTGAGTAGTTTTTAAATATTTTTGACACACTGACTTCTCCAACAGCACTCTGAATTTATGCATTTATTATATAAGTGTAGCAAAATTAATCATGCAGAGATGCAACTGGATACAAATTTAAGAATGGCTTCAGGAGATAAATTTGCTTTAGGCCCAAGGGGGTTTTTTTTTGCCTTCGAAAGTTCTAAGCACATTTTCTTCTGAAACCCCCTGGGTCCAGAACCAGATTCATGATGCTAAACCTGTCTTTATTGGGACAGGAAAAGATATTCTTTATACACATGCCCCTAAGTCTCCTTGTGAAGATGTAACAATGGGCAAAGACCAATTGATTATATCCAAATGCAAAAAGTCTAAGTCCTGAGATAAGTGCATTTGAGTGTCTGCTATTAAATGAGGATATTGATATAAAAGGTCTCACGAAAATTTGGTGAAATAATGATCATCAAAGGGATATGGAAATAGAGTACAGATATCGGATACATACATATAGGAATGACAGAGTAGGTTGCATTGGTGAGGGAGGGGCACTATAAGTGGAAGAAAGCAGAGACTCAAATTTAGTAAATATAGCAGTCAATAATGGTGACCATACTGTAATTAAATTTAACATGAATGCAGGGAGGAAATTCCAAAGAAACCCACTTCAATAGCATCTAACTATATAAGAAAGGGAGTTACACAAAAATGAGGAGCTAGTTAAATGGAAATCAAAAGAAATAGCTGCAAGAGTGAAATGCCTACAAGCTGCACAGAAATTTTTTTTTTAATACCAGAACAGAGGCTCAAGCTGTATGTATAACTGAATTTTTAAAAAAATGGTAAACATGGCTCAACAGGGTAAAAGATCTAATTATAGATAAAAAGACTGCTTAAAGAACTACAGGTCAAATCCCGCAGAAGAAAATAGAAAGGAATGTAAATTCTGGCAAGTTAAGTGTAAAAGTATAATTAGGAACTCCAAAAAAATGTTGAAGAGTAGCTAGCAAAACACTAAAAAATTAACATAAAAAAATGAAGTACATCCGAAGCAGGAAGCCTGCCAAACAATCAGTGGGGCCACTGGGAGTGCTAAAGGAGCACTCGAGAAAGTGAAGACTAGTGCAGAGAAGCTAAATTAATTCTTTTCATCCATCATCACTGCAGAGGACATCAGGGAGATTCCCATACCTGTGTCACTCTTCTTAGGTGACGAATTTGATGAACTGTCCCAGATAGAGGACTCGGTAAAGGAGGTTTTTGGAAGAGGTTTATAAATTAAACAATAATAAGTCACCAGAACTCAATTGTATTTTACCAAGAGTACTGAAGAAACTCAAATTTGAAATTGTAGAACTGTGGTATGTGGTCTCTTGCATAATCAGTCTCTGTACCAGAGGATGACTAGAGGATAGTTAATGTGTCTTCAGTATCAAGCAAATTTGGTGAAATGATAAGAAAGAAGTGAAGTATTGGACACAATGATGAACACAATATATATGGGAAGAGTCAACATGGCTTTTGTAGAGTGGACTTGTGCCTCACCAGTCTATTGGAATTTTTTCAGTGGGTCAGCAAATGTGAATAAGGGTGATCCAGTAGATATAGTGCATTTGGACTTTCAGAAAGCCTTCAACAAGATCTCCAAAGGCTCTTAAGCAAAGGAAGCAGTCACAGGATAAGAAGGAAGATCCTGTCATTGATCAGAAACTACAGTTTGAATATCTCTAGTCCAGCATCCTCAGGACCTGACCAGTGCTGAATGAGAGACTTTGTCGCACCTGTCCAGCATCCTCAGGACCTGATCAGTGCTGAACGAGAGACTTTGTCGCACCTCGTGAGGTCAATATCATCTAGCAGCATTACCAAAACTTCCACTGCTTACTGGGCTCTTAGAAGACATTTAGGGGTAAATTGGAGCTAAACAGCAGCACAGAACACAGGGAGCCAGGACTTGTGGCTATAAACAAACTTTTTGGGACTATGGGAAACTTGCCCACAACCATGATAAGTAGACATCTTGCTAACTAAAATCATGCTGGACTATGGATGTTGCCAGACCAGAGAGTGCAGGACTAGAAAGGTTCAACCTGTAGCTACAAAAGAGGAAACAAAAGGGTAGAGTGCAGAGAAGTAAATAGTGGTGAACCCCAGAGATCTGTACTGGGACCCTGCTGTTCAACATATTTATAAATGATCTAGAAAAAAGAATGAACGGGGAGGTGGCAAAGTTTGCAGATTATATTGAATGTCTCAAGATAGTTAAGTCCAAAACAGACTGTGAATAGGTAACAAAATGGTAGAAAAATTCAATATAGATAAGTGCAAAGTAATACACATTGTAAAATATAATCCTAACTAACATACAAAATGATAGGATCTAAATTACCTATTACCACTCAGGAAGGAGATCTTTAGATGGTATCATGAGCTTTCGTGGGCACAGCCCACTTCTTCAGATATCCAGAAGTGGGCTGTGCCCATGAAAGCTCATGATACCATCTAACATGTTTAGTTAGTCTGTTATAGAAAAAAAACAACAAATGGTCTGGTAGCACTTGATAGACTTGGGATTTGGAAGGTTGACGTGCTCTCCAATAGGTTTCTGTATGTTTCCTTTGCGTATATCTGATTTATGTCCAGTGATTCTTTCCCGCAGAGACTGTCCAGTTTGTCCAATATATATAGCAGTGGGGCACTGCTGGCATTTGATGGCATAGATCAGATTACTGGATGTGCAGTCAAATGACCTTTTGATTTGGTGCCTGATGTTTGTTGGCTACAGTGATGAATTCTCCGGTATAGAATATGTGGGCAGAGTTAGCATCTTTTTTGGTTGCAGGGCTGGGTTCCTGGAGGCTTATGATGTGGTAGTGTGGCATGGTTACCAGAAAGAATTTGTTTCAGGTTAAGGGGTTGTCTGTAAGCAAGAATAGGCTTTTCTCCAAAGGCCTCTGAGAGTGAGGGATCATTTTCCAAGATGGGTTGTAGATTGTGTATAATGCGTTGGAGGGGTCTGACAGATAAGACAGAAAACATCAAAATGCCCCTATAAATCTATGGTTCACCCACACCTTAAGTACTGCATCCAGTTCTGGTCACCTGATCTCAAAAAGGATACATTAGAACTGGAAAAAGTACCAAGATAGCAAAAATAATTAGGCATATGGAACAGCTTCCACATGAGGAGACAATAAAAAGACTGAGACTGTTCATCTTGGAAGAGAGACAATTAAGGGGGATATGATAGAGGTCTACAAAATAATATACAATATGGAGAAAGCTAATAAAAAAATTGTATTTACTCCATCACACCACACATGAACCCGTGGTCACCCAGTGCATTAAAACAAACAAAAGGAAGTACTTCTTCACACAATGCATGGTCAACCTGTGGAACTCCTTGTCAAGGGATGTTGTGAGGGCCAAAAGTATCACTGGGTTCAAAAAACAACTAGGTATGTTCACAGATCAATGGCTGTTAGCAAATATGGTCAGGAATGCAACCCCATGCTCTCAGTGTCCCCAAACCTCTGACTACCAGAAGGTATGTTGGGAGACATTGAGGGAGTACTTAATAAATTGCTGCATTCCATTCGCTCTGAAACTTGTGACATGAACCACTGTGATATGATAGGATACAGGGTGAGATTGAGCATTGGGCTGACCCAGCATGGTTGTTCTTGTGTTCTTATGATTCCCCAGGGTGGCCTAGTTTGGATGCCATGAAGTAATTTTGGAGAGAAAAACGTATCCGTGCTTGCTCTAATTTCCAGAGGAGTTATTTTTTTC